ACAAAAAACTAGCCGGGCGTGGTGGCGGGCGCCTGTAGTCCCAGCAACTCCGGAGGCTGAGGCAGGAGAATGGCGTGAACCCGGGAGGCGGAGCTTGCGGAGAGCCGAGATGGCGCCACTGCACTCCAGCCTGGGCGACAGAGCGAGACTCCGTCTCAAAAAAAAAAAAACAAACTTTTTTTTGTTCACTCTCTTTTGAAATTCACTCTCTCATATTTTAGCCCGCACCTATAGTAAAAACAAAACTGGCAACTTCTAGTGTTTATCCCATTAGTATTCCATTATATCTCCCAGATAAACAGCTGGAGGCCATCTCTTCAGTGACAAATGTGTTTGATTTGACTTCATCACCACCACAAGGCACATAATTTACTAACATTTGCTGTAGTACAATTTTAACGAGTAGGGTGATTCACCCTGGGAGGGGAGAGAAGAATGCAAAAACCGAGAAACGAAAACAGAGGCAAAGGCGAGTATGAAATTAGTAAGGTATGTGTGCCTTTAAAAATCTCTACTTTTACACAAGCACAACCTTGACACAGAAACATGCACAAATTATAAGGACACAGATCAATGAACTGTCACAATTTGAGCACATCCACGTGCCAACATTCAGCTCAAGAAATGCAACACATCAACAATCTAGAACCACCCTTCCATACCCCTCCTATACCTGCCTTCCCCAAAGTACCTGAGATCGACTGTGTTTTTGTTGATTTGTTTTTGTGTTTTTGTTTGAGATAGAGTCTCACTCTTGTTGCCCAGACTGGATTGCAGTGGGGTAATCTTGGCTCACTGCAACCTCCACCTCCCAGGTTCAAGTGATTCTCCTGCCTCAGCCTCCTGAGTAGCTTGGATTACAGGTGTGTGCCACTACACCCGGCTAATTTTTTTGTATTTTTAGTAGAGACGAGGTTTCACCATATTGGCCAGGCTGGTCTTGAACTCCTGAAGTCACGTGATCTGCCCACCTCGCCCTCCCAAAGTGCTGGGATTACAGGCGTGAGCTGCCAAGCCTGGCCTTGTTGATTTGTTTTTAAGGATCTTTGCAAACTGTCATTTGAGCAGTTTCTCAGCCAGTCCCTTGTGAGGAAGTCCTGGTTGTGTTTGTAGACTAAGGTTTCCATGACTCAGGTGTTAGATTTGGGCACTGTGTCCTGAAGTTTCATAGTGGCTCAAAAGAGGGCAAAGGTTTATGATGAGAGGTGCAAATCTACCATCCTTTCCCCTGCTGCCTTGGAAAGCCACAGTCATCTTTTTCTTTCTGCACTGACTTCTCCAGCATGGACACAGGCAGACACCTGATCTATTTCCTTTCAGGACTGCTGTGAGGCTCTGATGACATGATGGATGTGAGAACACTTTGAACAGGATGAAGTATTGCTCAATTATTATATCCTTTAACCGATGTGATGGAGGGGTACTGATAGTGCAGGGAGTTGTCTTGAACAAGAGGAAGGCATGTAAGTACATGTCCAAACCAAAAGAGGTACTGACCCTAATGGTTTTAACCGGCTTTCTATGCTTCTCTAATTTTGGAGAAATGCCATTAACTTATTAGCTCTTCAGAGCATAACCCTAATAAGGGCCAGTGACAGAATTATCTCTATAGGATCTTATGCGGCGGTCCCCAACCCTTTTAGCACCAGGGGCTGGTTTCAGGGAAGGCAATTTTTCCACAGAGGGGGCTGGGGGTGGGGGGATGTAGTGGGATGAAACTGTTCCACCTCAGATCGTCGGGCATTAGTTAAGATTCTCATAAGGAGTGCACAATCTAGATCCCTCACGTGCACAGTTTACAATAGGGTTAATGTTGAAATGGGAAAAGTTTTTCCTTATCTCCCTCACAGGGCATGCAATGGGGGTGTGGCTCACTTCTTCAGTGCCCTGCTGCTCAAACCCCTAGCGGGAGCACGCAAACAAGCAAGTCTAGGGGTTAGTTTTTACAGCTCCTGAAGCCCCAGTGCGCATCTGTGACCACGTGCTCTTTCAGCTTAGCCATGCTCAGGCAGCTTGTGTTAATTAGCTCAATTACACCCTCTGCCTTATGGCAAAGACAGAGGGCTTTCTGTATCTCGGGTTCTTGCCCTAGTGTACTGAAAAATTGGATCACAGGTGGGCTTGGAGGATGGGTGCAAGGCTTTATTGAGTGGTAGGAAGTAGCTCTCAGCAGATGGATGGGGAGCCAGAAGGGGGATGGAGTGGGAAGGTGCTCTTCTCCTGGAGTCGGGCTGCTCAGCAGCCGGGCTCTCCTCTGACTGCCCTTTGCTGAATTCCCCTTGGTGTCCGTGTTGTTCCATCATCAATCGCCTGCCAGCGTCTGTGGGTGTGTTTTTCTGCCAGTGTGTTCATCTTGGTGTCCAGCTGCTTGTGTGTGTGCCTGCGGGGGTCTCAAGGGTTTTTATAGGCACAGGATGGGGGGTGTGGTGGGCCAGAGCAGTTTTGGAAAATGCAACATTTGAGCACTAAAACAGGAATGCCTGTCCTCACGTAGGTCTGTGGGCATAGGCTCGAGGGTGGAGCCCTTGCCAGGGACCCCACTCCTCTCTACCCAGCACTTCCCTACCCCCCTCCTATATCAACACTCCTATGATAATCTAATGCTACTGTTAATCTGACAGGAGGTGGAGCTCAGGCGGTCACGCTCACTGGCCTGCTGCTCACCTCCTACTCTGCGGCCCAGTTCCTAACAGGCCACAGACTGGTACCAGCCTTTGGCCCAGGGTTTGAGGACCCCTGATCTAATGAACTTTATTCTGTTTTGTAGCTGTTTCTCTTTTCCCCAACTACATCCAATGTATCAGCAATGTGAATTGTTGGTTATGAATGAGGTAAATCATAACCTAATAGCTTGTAATTAGATGAGATTATCAGAAAAATCAAGGTATATTAACCTACTAATAGAGGACGATTTTTACACAGAGCCCAGCATATTCTAATATTTAGGATATGAAGTAATGACCTTTCTGTGCTTTGCCTAGGCAATTTTTGGAATATAGGTTGGTACTCTGCAGATGATGTGTTAGGCCTTGGCAATATAATAGTTAATGAAGAGGTCATTCTCTTTACCCAATGATGTTTTAAATTTCTCTGCAAGTTTTTCCTACCTTGTTTAGTTTCCTTCTTATTTTGTTGTTTTCAACTCAGCCTCTTCTCTTTTGGCTTTGCATTCCTGGATCATAGAGGTTAGACGTTGCCTATCAAGAATAAATTTTCAGGCCGGGCGCGGTGGCTCACACCTATAATCCCAGCACTTTAGGAGGCCGAGACGGGCTGATCACGAGGTCAGCAGATCAAGACCATCCTGTCTAACATGGTGAAACCCCGTCTCTACTCAAAAATACAAAAAATTAGCTGGGCATGATGGCGGGCGCCTGTAGTCCCAGCTACTTGGGAGGCTGAGGCAGGAGAATGGCGTGAACTCAGGAGGTGGAGCTTGCAGTGAGCTGAGATTGCACCACTGCACTCCAGCTTGGGGGAGAGCGAGACTCCCTCTAAAAAAAAAAAAATTAGAAACCTAAGTTTTCTAGGCCAGATGTGATGGCTCATGCCTGTAATGTCGACACTGTGGGAGGCTGAGGAGGGTGGATCTCTTGAGCCCGGGAGATCAAGACCAGCCTGGGCAACATGGCAAGACCCTGTCTCTACAAAAAATACAAAAATTATCTGGGCAAGGTGGTCCATGCCTGGAGTCTCAGCTTTTTGGAAGGCTAAGATTGGAAGATGGTTGATCCTGGGACGTAGAGGTTGCAGTGAGCTGAAATTGCCTCACTGCACTCCAGCCTGGGCAACAGAGTGAGACTCTGTCCCAAAACATAAAATAAAATAAAATTTTCTCTTTTATTGCTCCTCCTTTTAGTCTAGGTAGTAAAATCCTTTGCCCATTTATTATGCATTTTTGTTTCATCAGGTTTCTATTATTATTTTACTCATTATTTATTTATTTTAGAGACATATTCATACTCCGTTGCCCAGGATGGGGTGCAGTGGTGCAATCATAGCTCACTGCAGTCTGAAACTCCTGGGTTCAACTTCCCACCTCAGCCTCCTGAGTAGCTAGAACTACAGACGTGCACCACCATGCCATGATTTTTAAACTTTTTTGTAGAGACAGGGTCTCTGTGTTTCCCAGGCTGATCTTGAACTCCTGGCCTCAAGCGATCCTCCTGCCTCAGCCTCCCAAAGGATGGGTATTACAGTCATAAGCCACCATACCTGGCCTGTTATTTATGCATTTTGCACGTGGTGGTCACGGTGGTGGGGTCTCTTTCCTTGTCCTTGACAGCAGAGAGAGATGTTTAGTCATCATACTTACCAATGGTTGAATATGTGCGTTGCCTGTGGTGTTTACTTATGCACTGGGTCAAACACCCTTCTCAGAGCTTCAGTGAATGCAGCTTTTAAGACTGATTCTCGAGGCCAGACGCAGTGGCTCACACCTTGGGAGGCTGAGGTGGATGGATCATGAGGTCAGGAGATTGAGACCATCCTGGATAACACAGTGAAACCCCGTCTCCACTAAAAATACAAAAAATTAGCCAGGCCGGGCATGGTGGTGAGTGCCTGTAGTCCCAGCTACTCGGGAGGCTGAGGCAGGAGAATGGCGTGAATCTGGGAGGCGGAGCTTGCAGTGAGCCAAGATCGCACCACTGCACTCCAGCCTGGGTGACAGAGCAAGACTCCATCTCAAAAAACAACAAAAAAAGACTGATTATCGTCCGGGCATGGTGGCTCACTCCAGTAATCCCAGCACTTTGGGAGGCGGAGGTGGGTGGATCAACTAAGGTCAGGAGTTTGAGACAAGCCTGGGCCACTGGCCCACATGGTGAAACTCTTCCTCTACTAAAAATAAAAAAAATTGCTGGGCATGGTGGCATGCATCTATAATCCCAGGTACTCAGGAGGCTGAGGCAGGAGAATCACTTGAACCTGGGAGGCGGAGGTTGCAGTGAGCTGAGATCGCGCCACCGCACTGCACTCCAGCCTGGGAGACAAGAGTGAAACTTCATCTGAAGAAAAACAAAACCTGATTCTCAATGTGTGGTGAGTTTATGCTAGGGAGGTTCTGCTACAAAAGATGTTGCTTTTCACTCCCAAAGCCTGAGGTTCTAACAAGTGTAGGAAGTGAAACCTTACCCACAGGTCCCAAAATAGAGCACTACGAAAGCTCATCTTTACTAATTACTGCTAAATAAATGAATAAAATAATAACTCTTCCTTAGGGTTTCACCTTTCAAGGTGTATCCTGTGCCCAGACTCCTACCAGTCCAGCCCACCTACTTGGGTTCATTATTTTTGAGAATGACAGGCTCCGACTGAATGTTGAAAAAAGAGCCCCTGATTTGGGTGAGGAGAGGTAGAGTTTGGGGGAAGGGAAATTGCACTCTTATAGCCTTTAAAAATGAACATTTTTTGTAGGAGATGGGCTACTGCTCGAGTTTCTGGTGATATGTACCTTGAACTGGAGACGAAACACTGCAGAGGAAGCAGAATATCTACTTTCAGCCCAAGTGAGCTATTCATTCCATTGGCCTCGTAGAGGAAAATCTCCCAATTCTAGCTAGAAATAGATTGACTATTGGTCCCGGTTTTCCATGGAGTTGTGGGTTTTATTATTTTTCTGTGTTTTTAAAGGCATTTTAATTAAAAATTGGGAAAGGCTGTTTCAGGGCTGCTAAGTAGATGATATTGAAAACTGGGAGCTGAATACAGGCCATTACTGCTTAACTTTATAATCGTTACATTTATCCTTTGCTTCTTCAATGTGTCTTCTTTACCACTTAATGAAGTTCTTTGTTTTTTTCCAATCACAAATATTATTTCTATTCAATACTTTGAGCTTTTCTATTTCTATTTAAATGCAACTGGAAGGAAACATTTTCTATCAGACAAATATTGTTTTGCAATGAAACCTATTTAACAAAATCAAATTGATATATTTTAACCTACAACTCTGTTTTGAATCCTAATTTTAGAGTGGATTGGAAATGTTCCACTGGACTCGTATTCTTCCTAATCTCTACTTTTTGATACATTGTTGTGCCTTGGAAACATAATTTTTTTTCTCATTTCCCTTTGAGTTTTCATGGTATTATAAAATGACACAGTAAAATATTTAAATTACTTATTTTGGGTAACTTTCATTCTTTCACTGCGGTAGCAGATACAGTAAGTTAAAGATTATATTTCTAAAGTGGTTATTGAGGCCAGACGCAGTGACTCACACTTGTAATCCCAGCACTTTGGGAGGTCGAGGCGGGTGGATCCCTTGAGGTCAAATTTTCTCTCTTCTCCCTCTCTGCGCTCCTTCTGTTCCCTGTGCTTGTGGGAATGTTCTTCCACCAGATGTCTGCATGGTTCAGACCCTCTTTCCCTTATGTGCGTTCAAATACCATTTCATCAGCAAAGTTTTTTTCCCAACCACCCTACTAAATAACACCATCAATCATCCACTCATTTAACCTCACTTTATGTTTCTTCATGGCACTTGACATGTTATATATTTATTGTGTGCTGACTATCTGTCTTCCCCATAATTGTGCTCACTGCTATATCTATTTATTTTATTTTTTAAAGACAGGGTCTTGCTTTGTCACTAGGGCTGGAGTGCAGTGGTGCAGTCATAGCTCACTGTAGCCTCAAACTCCTGGGCTCAAGTGATCCTCATGCCTTGGCCTCCTAAAGTGATGGGATTGTAGGCATGAGCCACTGCACCCAGCTGCATGGCTATAATCTTCAGTGCTTAGAACAGCTCTAGGTACAATCCACATTTGATGAATGTATGAATGAATTGATCATAATACATTAGTTTTGCTCTTCCCAGGTCATTAAAGACCCTCACTCTGGTTAGTAGTTTTCAAACTCTTTTTCTGCTATAGAACATTCTCTGCAAACAAAGTCTCACAAAGAAGACTAATAATGCAAACCAGATGTATTTGGAGTAACGTGATGGAGTGGCAGGTGGCAGCCAGGGAAGGGAGGTGCTCCTTTCTCCCTGCTGATCTCCTTTCAACTCGTCATCTCCCCTGGCAGCCTAGGTATGTTTGGAAACCACAAATGTAGGTTATCTCACCCAATCCCCATGACTGCCATATGAGGTAGATATAATCACCCCCATTCATAAATGAGGTAACTAACAAGATGCTGTCAGCTTGCCAAGACAACATGGTGAGTAAACTTCATGTTTGCCAATATAGTGAAACCATGTCTCTAGAAAAAAAAAAAAAAAAGTAATAATAATTAGGTGGGTGCAGTGGCGCATGCCTGTGGTCCTAGCTACTTGGGAGACTGAAGCAGGAGGCTCGCTTGAGATCAGGAGTTGGAGGCTTCAGTGAGCTATGGTCACACCACTTCACTTCAGCCTGAGTAACAGAGCAAGACCCAGTCTCAAAAACAAACAAACAAAAAACCTTAGATTTTTGCTGTAGTTGGGATTAAAAAGCATCAAGGGGGTGGGCACAGTGGCTCACACATGTAATCCAAGCACTCTGGGAGGTCGAGGCAGGCGGATCTCCTGAGGTCAGGAGTTCAAGACCAGCCTGGCCAACATGGCAAAACCCTGTCTCTACTAAAAATATAAAAGACAGCCAGGCATGGTGGCACACACCTGTAATCCCAGATACTCGGGAGGCTGAGACAGGAGAATTGCTTGAACCCAGGAGACAGAGGTTGCAGTGAGCTGAGATTGTGCCACTGCACTCCAGCCTGAGTGACAGAGCAAGACTCCATCTCAAAAAAAATAAAAATTAAAAAAGCGGCCGGGCGCAGTGGCTCAAGCCTGTAATCCCAGCACTTTGGGAGGCCGAGACGGGCGGATCACGAGGTCAGGAGATCGAGACCATCCTGGCGAACACAGTGAAACCCCGTCTCTACTAAAAAATACAAAAAACTAGCCGGGCGAGGTGGCGGGCGCCTGTAGTCCCAGCTACTCGGGAGGCTGAGGCACGAGAATGGCGTGAACCCGGGAGGCGGAGCTTGCAGTGAGCTGAGATCCAGCCACAGCACTCCAGCCTGGGCTACAGAGCGAGACTCCATCTCAACAAAAAAAAATTAAAAAATTTAAAAAGCATCAAAGGGGTCCTCCAACTATTGATTTTCCCAGGTACTGAAGATTTCAGAAGGCTTCTTTGTTTTTTTTTTTACGGATTCCCTCCTGGGGTAGGTAGGGGTAGGGGGGACCATCCAGACAGGACTTTGATCCCCTCTTGTAATGATGGAAGAAAGAGCATTGAAATAACAACAGCTCCCTTTCAATGAGCAGGGGCGCTCTGCCTTGCATTTGCTGAGGGTATCTGTGCCTTTACTCACCCAACCTTCCCATGAACCTAGTAGGTAGTTACCAACATAATCCCAAAACAGGCAAGGAGAAATCAAGTGACTTATCCAGCAGACAAAAGGATCTCCAGAGTAACCTTCAGTTTCCTGCTCTCCATGGTTTTCCTCTTTTACTTGTTTTGAATTCTCTAGCACCCAGGGAGGCCGGCCTGAGACTGACAAGGGCACTTAGGGAGTGGAAATGAAAAACAAAGACACCCGCAGAGCCCATTAGTGAGTGGAAATTGAACTCCCAAACCTAAGGGCTGGTTCCCTGAGCTGAAGCAGAGAGCTTTGATCACACTTACTAACTCGGGAAGGGACTGACTTCGGTTCCCTGCAGGGAAAGGTAAACATTCTTGTGGAAATGTAAACACATCACTAATGGTCTAAATGGCCTGTAATGGAGGCATAATTTCTATTGGAAACAAGCCCCGCCATCAAGATAAAGATGCTGTTACCCCCTGTGGGGGTGATCTTTCCAACTCCAGCCAGAAGTTTTTCTGTGGTAGTGACGGCACCCACAGGGCAGATGAAGAATGAAATACTAATTTCCCAACCCCAAATCTGCCTTGATCTGCTTGAAAAGTCAGCACCTCCTCTGCTTGGGAGGTAAGTGTCACTCAGTATAGTTCTGCTCTGAAAAGGAGGTGGATAGGTGAGGTTGAGAAGGTGTAATTACAGGTGGATCCCAGAACGTCTCAGACTGTGATACCAGGCCAAGCTTTCTCTGCAACTGCACCCATGAAAGAACCTTCCTCGCCACCATTATCAAAACAGCTGTCAGGAAAGCGCCCCTGTTATTAAATGCCGCTCTGCACATCCGCACGGGAGGCGTAATCACAGGTGCTCCACCTGGAGGGGAAGCTGTTCAAGAGGAGGAAAGAAAGAAAACACAAGAATGAGCAAACTAAAAACAAACAAATGAAGTGTAAAAATTCCATTAGAGCTCTAGAAACAGTGAGACGAAATGGCAAAGTGGGAAATGGGGGAGAGTCTCTGAAGGTTTCTTTGTTTTTTTTTTTTTTTTGAGGCGTGAGTCCGCTTGTGCCAGGGCTGGAGTGCCAGTGGCGGATCTCAGGCTCACTGCAAGCTCGCCTCCGGGTTCCCGCCATTCTCCTGCCTCAGCCTCCCGAGTAGGCCTGGGACTACAGGCGCCGCCACCACGCCGGCTATTTTTTTATTTTTAGTTAGGACGGGGTTTCACTGTGTTCGCCAGGATGGTCTCGATCTCCTGACTCGTGATCCGCCCGTCTCGGCCTCCCAAAGTGCTGGGATTACAGGCTTGAGCCACCGGCGCACCGGGCCCTCTGAAGGTTTCTTTAGCTCTTTGGTGAATGGATCTGTCCTTGTGGTGAATGGATATGTCCTTTTTTTCTCTTTCTTCTTCTTTTTTTTTTTTTTTTAATTGACTTTTGCTCTTTTGTCAAGGCTGGAGTGAAGCGGTGAGATCTTGGCTCACTGCAACCTCCACCCCCTGGGTTCAAGCGATTCTCCTGCCTCAGCCTACCAAGTAGCTGGGATTACAAGCATCCACCACCACGACTGGCTAATTTTTGTATTTTTAGTAGAGACAGGGTTTCACCATATTGCTCAGGCTGGTCTCGAACTCCTGACCTCGGGTGGTCTGCCCACCTCGGCCTCCCAAAGTGCTGGGATTACAGGTGTGAGCCACCGTGCCTGGCCCCTTTTTGTTTTTCAATCCATGGAGCAGACGAAGAAGTTCTAGAAAAGTGACAAACAGGAGAATGTGCAGTCCCAGCACGGCCGTGTCTCCCGCTCCATGTTGCCCAATGAAATAATGGCGTCTTAGATCAAAAAACTAGAAAGCTATTGGTGGCATGTCTGACCTGGCCTTTGCAGGACACCAAGAACACAAATGACTCTCAAAGACCGCTTACCAGGCACAGCTGAGTGAGGGGGAAGGGGTAGGTCGGCCTCCCAAGATTCAGGCACGAGGAAATTAAGTGGGATTTGTTATCCCCAGAGTCATCCGCATGATGGGCCAGTGAACTGAAGATAATTGCTAGGTATGCAAGTGTCAGTCACCAATTAATAAAATTGTCTTGGAGCTGTGGCTGCAAACCCAGGTGTACATTAGAATCACTGGAGGGAAGGGGTGATTTAAAAAGAATTCAATGGGCTGGGCATGTTGGCTCTTGCTAATAATCCCAGTGCTTTGAGAGGCCAAGGCAGGAGGATTGCTTGAGGCTAGGCGTTCAAGACTAGCCAGAGCAATATAACAAGACCCTGTCTTTACAAACAACCACCACAAAATAATAATAATTAATAAACACACACACACACACACAATTCAATGCTAGGTCTCATTCCAGGACAGTTAAAGTAGAATTTCTGGGGGCAGGGCTCAAGCAGCCCCTTGTCTTTTTTTTTTTTTTTTTTTTTTCGACAGGGTCTTGCTCTGTCATCCAGTCTGGAGTGCAGTGGTACAAGCATAGCTCACTGCAGCCTTCAGCCCCTGGGTTCAAGTGATCCTCCTACCTTAACCTCCTGCATAGCTGGGACTACAGGTGTGTACCACCATACCTGGCTAATTTTTTAAAGTTTTTTTGTAGAGACAGAGTCTTGCTATGTTACCCAGGCTGGTCTAAAACTCCCGGGTTTAAGTGATCCTCTTGCCTCAGCCTCCAAAAACACTGCAATTACAGGCATGAGCTGCCTCGCTTGGCCCCCATGTTTTTTAAAGCTCCCCAAGATGATTCTAATGTCCTGCCATGATGGAATTACCACCTGGAAGGAAGCAGGGCTTGTACTCTATCTCCTGGGAATACCCATCCACACCTAATCTGAATCCTCCCAACCTTGAAGGCATAGCTCACGTCACTCCTGAAAAACAACCATTACCGAGCCCTTAGAGGGTGCAAGATAATGAGTTACACGCTCTCGAGGACACAAATAAGAACAAGACAGTTTCTGCCCAGACAGTTTATAAATGCAGGGAGGGAGAAAGCAAGTGTCTCCTACAGAGGGAGAGCTCAATAAATATTTATAAAATAAAAGGATGAATAAATAAGCGAATGACTTTACAATAATAATACAGTAAATTAAATACATGAAAACAGAGAAGGCCGGGCGCGGTGGCTCAAGCCTGTAATCCCAGCACTTTGGGAGGCCGAGATGGGCGGATCACGAGGTCAGGAGATCGAGACCATCCTGGCTAACACGGTGAAACCCCGTCTCTACTAAGAAATACAAAAAATAGCCGGGCGAGGTGGCAGCGCCTGTAGTCCCAGCTACTCGGGAGGCTGAGGCCGGAGAATGGCGTGAACCCGGGAGGCGGAGCTTGCAGTGAGCTGAGATCCGGCCACTGCACTCCAGCCTGGGCGGCAGAGCGAGACTCCGTCTCAAAAAGAAAAAAAAAAAAGAAAGAAAACAGAGAAGCAAGTATTATGCACAGAAGAAGAGATGATTGATGGGATGAGGGCTGGGGGAGACTGTAAAGGTGGTAGCATTTGAATTGGGTATTGAAGGATTGGTAGTAATAACATGTAACATTTGTTCAGAGCTTTAAAGTTGACAAGTGTTTTACATGCATGAACCCATTTAGTGCCTTTCTATACTGCTTGAGGTTGGCATTGGTTGGTATTTTAGTCCCTTCTTTAGAAGTGAGGAAAAGTCAAATGAGCTAGCCAAGGTCATGTAGCTGGTGAGGAAGGGAGCCCAGGTCTCAAGCCTGGAATCCATTGCCTCTCCATAACACTACTGTGGACTCAGGACATTCCTCTGGGGGAGGGACATTACAGGCCAGGAAAACAGCATAAGAGAGACATGGATGTGTCATTCTGAGCATGTAGTTTATACATGGAAGGGTGATTTTTTTTAAGGAGCCTTCCTTTTAGGAAGAGTATTGTGAATGCAAGAAGGTCTGGCTGGCATTAAAATGAATGAAACCATGTCCTTTGCAGTAA